AATGCTTGCTTCGAATCTCAATCATCAACATAATAATGGCGGCAACTATAGATGTTAGAGCTAAGTGAAGGATGAATAAACAACTATGCGAAGAATTTATCCTTTCCTATGTTGTCTCATTCATGAAATTTTTATTTTTTTATGCCGAATGCTTGTGTTAACTGAATATAAATTCAATGTTCCTGGGCAATCCATACAGACATAGTAGATTGAAGCTATTTATAGTCCTTAGGTAGTTTTTTTTAGTAGAAATTGTTGTCGTCGACCGGTCTATGATAAAAAAACTTTCAGATTCGTAATCTATCATGATCGACAAATTCAATTTTTTTAATGAACAAAAAAAAATATAAGTAAAATGATACATTCATCATTTTTGATATTTTTAATCGAATAAATGATGAAAAAATGATATGAACCGCCTGTTGTTCTTTTATGATCACTGTTGACAGCTTCCTTTCTCAACGACAACGAATTTCATACTCGCTTTGGCCATTATTATCATCATGTAGATGTGTGATGAATGTCTCTAAGATTTTAGATGCAATCTTATCATAATATGAATAAAATGTTGAATGCAAAAAACTGGTCATAATTGCTTTTGTTCAATGAACAATATCAATACTGTAGAATAATAAGCTTGGAAATGAAATTATATTCGCCTATGCCTAGGCTGATTTTGAAATAGAAAACTAATTCAACAATAGCATTATAATGATGATGATGCTATTGACCAATGTATTTCTTTGATGAAATCGGATGGGAGGTGTTCAAAAAAAACTGTATACATTTGTTTGTCGAAGTTATTCATTTTGAACGAGTCATGATAAATAAATGACAAAAGATTCAAGAAATCGATTAATCATACTGAATGTTTTGCATTGGACATTGATCTATTAAGCATTTACCTGTCGTAGAATGCTTAATATTGCTTCATTGATGCTTGTTTGGGTGCTTTGACACCTATGATGATGATACTCAAGAGAATTGAGGATGTGTGTACTACACACAAATTGATTGATTGATTGAATTCTTTAATTTTTAACAATGTATAAGACTCATAACGAACATCTTTTCAATCAAGTAATCATCACTTTGTAAATGAAAAATGATTTACATTTTTGCTTAGTGTTTGGGCAAACATACAGGTAAACTTTGATCTTTTATCTAAAAAAAATCATCAGAAATGATTCAAAGATTCTTGTCTTACCAAAACAATCAGCAATTGCAGTGACATTTGCTGATAGTTCATATTTATCAATAATTCGATTATAGCTAACGGATAGAGAGAGTGAATAAAACATCTAAATCTCTATTCATATTCGTATTATTCAGTCAATTAGTAGTTGATTTGGCAAATTTAGATGCAGATTTTTAGCATTTAAAATAGCAAAAAAGTATTTTTGCCGGATTTGGACATGAATGCTTTTTGTTTATGCTGATAAAAAAAATAATCGACTTGTTTTAATTCACTAAAATGGTGATTGCTAAAAATTTTGTCTGTCACAAGTCTGAATGAAATTCGGATGAAAAAAAAACATTTATAGTAATTTATCATGAGGCTCATCTTATACAACCCGTCAAAGCCTCTCTTTTTTACAACTTGGATTCTAAAATTCTGTCTTATTCACTGATGTAAAACACACATTTCATTGTAGAAATAGCGGTTTTTGTTTGTTTTCCTGTCTGTATCCAAGTAGAATGAAGTTGCCAATTTTGTAAGAAAAAAAATTGAATATAATACGACGATTTTATAGTTAGAAACAGCTGAATTAAGCATTCAATGACTGCTTGTTGACGATGATTATGAAGAGATTTACACAATTTTATATGATGTTTTAGTAATATATGTCTAATCATTATATGACATTTACATCTCACTCATTGTGAATGAATAATCCATTAATTGTCCTTTGAATTTAGATACACCAGAATTCACGTGATCAAATGGTTTGAAGCATCTTATGCATAATAATCGCATTAAAACTCGACTGAAGAGAGTTATAATCGCTCAATTCAAATATTCGGTTTCTAACATTTGGCATATTCAATTCATTCGTTTAATTTTCGAAGATAAGATTGTATGCGAACCAATGAAACGTTTCTCAAAACGTTTATTCATAATGAATCGATCAAACGTTGCCTATTAAGACGATAAAAATATCAATGTTCACTGAGTATTATTTGATTCACTATGAATAAACCTTATCTAATCGGTGCGGTTGTTTGTTTGTTTGAAAAAAAACAACAAAAAAAATCTACCACAAAATTGACGTTATATGCGTTGCGCCAAAAATAGATTTAATTCAACTGGATTATCTTATACATCCTTCAACAAATAGTCGAAAATATTAATGATATATGATTTTAGAATCTTAAGATCAAATTGAATAAAACAAATCAAATCAAAAAAAGAATCACACCTGACCTAACAAAAATTTTACTCAATCATAACATGATGAAATTATTACGTAAAACCAAACAAATGCACTACACCTACACATCCCAGTGAAAAAAATGATAAGGAGAGCCACAATGTTCATTCCAAATTCATTATCATTTCCAACCAACATGATCATGTGATAATGATGATACCCTTTTTTGCAATAAATTATCAACAAATAAACATCACGAGACATTGTTTACGATAATGATCATATTACAGCCCAACACAATCACTGAGTTGATGGATTTGGCCATTGAAGTGAACGGATATTGATGGATTTTATCTAATTGAAAACATTCCTTCCTTCCAGGAAATTAAAGGTCATCAAACCTCTTAATAGCCAATTCTATATCATTGTGACAAGCCAGAAAGTGATAGAGAACAATCAACCTTGACAATCATTGCCGGCAAGTTATCATCAAGAACGGGAAATCGACAAACTCAGTCATTCAGTCATTAGGGTAATTGTAGAGCTGATGACATCCGATTGAAATGAATCGAATTCTTATCAATGACAAACAGACAAATTTTTAAACAAGGTTCATTCATATAATCATCAGAATGAATTTAAAGTTACAGTTGCCATGTTCATCAGTTTTGTTTGTAACAAATTCGATGTAAATTCTTGAAATGGAAAACAACAAGTTAACAAAAAAAAACAAACAAACAAAAATAAATAGTTCAATGTGAAAAAGACAAATTTTATTTACAAGAAACAAAGAGAAAATTGAGCCATGTTTTGATTTTTTTTCTTCTGCCAATTTGTGGAGAAAAAATTGTTTTTTTATACAAATTACAAACACAAAAAAGAAAAGAAAAATATTTTCGAGATTCAATCATTTTTATTTGGGTGAGTGATGTTGGTGTCTAATTTGATCCGAAAACAAAGTTTTTTAATCAACAAAGGCTCAATCGATCCAAAAGGAATGAGAGCACTTTGATGACAAAAAAAAAATTTAGGGTGTGACAAATAGAACATCAATTTTGTTAAATTGAAACACTATTACAACTGTTTTTTTTTTGTATAATGATTTCATCGTTTTCAAACAAGAAAAAAATTATGATTTATTACTTATTGATTGATTGACTAGTATAGCAGATTTTTTTCCAAGAAAATTTCACCGAAAAAACTTGATAGAAAAAACGAGTAGGATTTTTTTTACAAACATGGTTTATGATAATGATGATGATAAGAGAAAGCCAGATTTCCACTTTGTGTGACAGAATATGGGAGGAAGTGAGAGGAGTAGATTGGACAAGAATATTACATTAATTTGTATTGGTTTTGAACCGTGAAATATTCAGATGTTATCTAGGTGTTTGTGTGTGTATGTGTGAGAAAAGCGGAGATTGATTTGCGGTCTTTTAATGGATATCTTGAAAAATGTTGATTTGTTTGTTTTAAACTTTTTCTGGATTTCATTTTTTTTAAAATTCAATATGTGATTAATTTGTAATTCATAATAGATAACTGCATCATTTTGGTTGAAGTTTAGAAACTTCTCAAGCAAGATAATTAAATTATATATATGTATAAAAAAGGGGTGATATATATGTGGATATTGAAGAAATTATCATAAATGAAGAATGTAAATAATCATTGGTAGAACACACAAACAAAAAACAAGACAAAAAAAACACAAACATTTTAAGCATGGTGCATAATAGGTGTATATGTGTGTACTCATGTTTCACAATAACATCCATGAACAATTAGTTATTAAATAATACAAATTCATTTGATTCTGGATATTCGATGTTGTAAAATTGAATCTCAGACAGGTTGTAGGTGATGATTGTTGTTAAATGTTATTTTTTTGTACTGTTTGTGCCAGGTCAGTTTTGAACATTGGATTTTAGCATTGAGGCCTGTTGATTGATCAACTTTTTTTTGATTGATGTCTGTACATTGAGGAAGGAGAATGAATATCATCTTGTGGTTTATATATAAATAATAAATAAAGCAAATGAATGAAATAATAAATAGGCTCGTATCAAAAAAGAGAAATAAAGGAATATTTCACCTAGGTGGTTTATGTCTAGGCTGAATAAATAAAGGAGAAGGAGGAGGAGGTTAGATAATGTCGATAATGACAACGAATAATGAAAATAAATAGACACAAACACACGAATGTAGATACAAAAAAATGACGATTTTGGATGCTTAGCACGGAACAACAATCAATCAAAAATTTCGAAATGAATAAGAGATATAGAAAAGGTTGTGTGTGTGTGTGGAAAAACTAAGTGTTACACTAAGAAAACTTGAGCCATTTGAATGATGTGAGAGAAGAATAAATAAGACTGACAAAAATGTAAATGTGCTGTGTTTTGGGAAACCTATGAGTGTGTATGGATAAGAATCGTCTCAAATATGAGAATGATGTTATTTCAATAAATAAATGAAGCGAATTGGTCATCATTGCAAATGAAAAAAAAATAAATTATAAACGATTTCACTAGATGAAAACTAGGAAAGCAATAAATAGTGGGAAATGGCATCGATGTTTGTGTCTGATATCAATGAATGGATAACAAAAAAAGGGGAGTGGTACTTTACAGGTCGAATTTATTGATTTATTTGTCTATGATGCAGATGCATTATTTATAAGAGAGAGAATGATAATTCGGATGAGTGATGAATCAGTGATGCTATTTAAATCATTAAAACAATGATCCAGGTGGAGTTTCCGGTGATGATGACGATGATGATGATGTGGATGATTCAGGTCCGGAAACCGATGCGGAAGAGAAATGCATCATCTGAATTGAACGACGGCCAATATGATGTGCAACACCATTGGCCGACATTTGACTTGAATTATCCATCGATGGTATATCAACACCAATAGATGTGGACGATGAATCTAATTTGGCGCCCATCCAAGGGTGGCCAAGAATGTCTTCTAATGTGGGACGATCTTTTGCGTCATATGATAGGCACTTGAATATTAAATCCTGGCATTCGGAGGTGACATTTCGTTTGAATTTTAGTACACCGCCGATGATAGCATCATCATCATCGAACGGTATATCTCCACAAACCATATCGTAAAGTAACACCCCCAAAGACCATACAGTTGCGGCCAGACCATCGTAACGGCTTGATTTAATCCATTCAGGTGGAGAATAGACACGTGTACCTGTTTTAAAATTAAATTAAAACAAATGAATCGATTAATGAATGAGCTGTCAATGAAAACTTAGTAAATAAAAAGGAAAAAAAACGGAAAATTTCAAACATTCCAACAATCCTTTATTCACGCAAAAGTAACAAGTGACGTTGCTCTTTTCTCTCATCATATGTGTTCAATCAACATTCTTCAATGACAGATTAACTGGACAAGCCAGTTATTGATCAAGGTATCTTTCGATCTCATGACGTTCATGTTTTGATGAATGCATTTGATTGCACACAAGAAGTTCTCTATTTATCCAATTTTTTATCGAATACAACAACTACTATAGAAATCTTTTACATTCCGATGCTAGCTAAGCACACAATGAATTGCAATCAGTGTTGATGCAGTCGGTTAAGAGGACAGCAGACAGGTAGGGCGATGGTGGTCTGCTCTTTTCAATAATACAAGTATTCGGGGGGCTTTACTTATATTCATATAAACGCGTATAACGGGTAATTTTTCAAACAGCTTGGGGTAGCGGAATAAATAGTGTATATATTTGCTTCTCTAAAATATATTTTAGATGGTACCGGGAATTACTATTTGATCATTTTTTCTTTGCAAAAAATGAATGCGAAAAGAATTGACAAAAAAAACCGATAACATTACTAATTGATATATAGCAAAACGGATAGGATGATTCAATGAAACGCCGGCAATATTCGCCAATTATGATGGTCATCATTATCATGGAAGGCATTGACAATCTACAACACATCAGACAATTGAAAGCGCCGTCGCAGCAAATTATAGCCGGAATTTAGCCTATGATTGTAAACATGACATACCAACAAACTGGTCAAACAAGAATACAACTCTACGCTATCCATAACGGCATTTTTCTAACATGAAAAGACAACTTTTCTTGTTTTTATAAGCCAAAGTTATGCGGAAATACAATATTATGAAGGAAAAACGTTATTTTCTCTGTCGTATTGGTTTGAGAGAGTCGTCGTATGACCTACAAATCGATCCATCTAGCCTAAGAACTTCCACCACCAGGATCGCTCATAGTTGAATCACAAGTTATTGTATATCAGAGAAATGAATGGATTTTTTTTCATTTCCATTGAATGTTTAGATGAGGTGAATTTATGACAAATTGTAACTTATTATCTATTTGTACTACGAGTTAAAGTACAAATATTTAATTCATAACAAAAACTATAATCAATATAATTGTCCTTGTTAATTTTTTTTATTGTTCAACTCATTATAACAATCCTTTCCAGAATTCATTAGAATAGATCAAAAAATGGACATTCTGATGAAAACGACAATTTAGCTTTAGATTTGAACAATTTTATTTCCCTTAAAAAAAGACTATCATCGCATACGACAGCAGCTGTTTCTACTGGATAAGGAAACGAAACATACACATAAACACATCATCATCATCGACGAAAACAACAACAACAACAAAGAGAAATCACATGACGAGCGCGCCTAAAATGAAAATATATATATTTCAATGATTCATTCATTCGCTCCAAAACGGCTCAAAAGAAGGAGGGGAAAAAGAAATATACGAGCCGGAAAGAAAAAAAGACAAGGAGAGATTGAAATACGCACAAGAAACAAGGCAAACTAGCACAAACAACAAAGATGATTGCATGATGGCGCCCGACACAATTACAATGGCCCCTTCTGTGTGTAAGTTGTAAAACAAAAACAAAACACAAAAAATGTATATTCGAAAGAGATCAAAACAAAGCGAATACGCATGTTCGTAACATCTCTTTGATGCAATGGAACATTTTCAAGCTGTTTTTACGGAATGTTTGTAAACATACACATGCGCATTGCAGAAATGGCGTCTTGGCAAATGTCAAATGTTTGTTTACAAGGGGATTTTACGTGCTGCAATCGATCAGGCAATGAATGAATGAATGAAAACAATGATTTAGTTAGTGAGAGTCTGATGAAATACCAATGTAACCTAATCGATAGATAGAACAAGATATTTGTGTTTCCGAATAAAGAAATTAGATTCTGGAAGAGAAATGAAATGCGTTAATACAAACAGGCGATAGCAGCTGATTTGCCAAAACTGACCTCGATTTCATTCTAATATTATGACTTGTCAGTGTTTAACTGTAATAACTATGATATTTGCAATGAATTTAACGTCGAATTCACGAATATGACGTCATATGATCATTTTAAACCGATTGATCGAAGTCCATTGCCATGGTGAATATATATAAACACATGAGATTTATTCACCGATTTATCATTCAGAATAAATACTACACACAGAATCGATTCCAATTTCGTGGCCATCATTGTCTTACAACATAAACATGTGACCATGTGATGTATCGTGTGATCGATATATATTTTCATTGTAAATATTTTATACAAAAGAGAACGAGATAATGGGTCAACGAAATTTGGGCTCTATTCAATACAGATTCATGAGCAAAAATGAGACCGTTTATTTGCTATTATTATTTAAAAGGCCTTCAATGCGCGCGTCTTAACAATAAAATTTCTCAGGTGAGCCATATATATAGATGAAGAGAAAAATCGAGAAAATAAAAAGATGAATGTAGGTGAAGATATGTTTAGAATGAAACAAACAACAACAACAAAAACGAGATTCACTCAACAACTTGAATCATGTGATTATCACAACGACGCCGGGAGCTTTTGACGAATAAATGAAATGAGAATGAGAGAAAAATGAGAAATTTCGTGTTTGTTCGAATGAACGAAAAAGAGAAGAAAACAAATGCCACGAATAAAGATATAAAACGGTAAAATTTTACTTCTTACATTTACAATGTGGTTAAGAGATTTTTTTTAAAGAAGTAAATATATACAAGGGCCAGCGTCAAACACACATAGATCAATTCAAAATATACATAGGAAGAAGAGTAAAAAAGGAAAATTGTATGAATGAACATCATCGGATCCTTACAAACAAAAATAACAAGTTGTGGAACAAGTTTTATCTTATTTTTTCTATTTATTCCACCACTTTGTTGTCTGTGTTATGGTTTGTTTTCAATTCGAACAAGCCAAGATCAAACATTCGTCAATAATGATGAAAGCATCGACCTGTATATGAAAAATCTTGCCATCATAATCATTATTATTATTATTATCAACCTTTTGTCTGTCTGTAGGTTGTGTGTTCCACTTTTTTTTTCTTCGAAAAACTATCTTTCATATAAAGACACACACACACACAAACACAGACAGTCGTCAGACAAGGTAAAAGTTAAACATATGAATAACTGTATGTTGAATAATAACCTCGGTAAAGAATGGATCAAAAGGGTTAAACTCTAAAAATAAGATTTGCGAAAAATTCTTGCAAATGAATTTGGATTTTAAACAGCCAACGAAAACTTTGTTTGCAATGAAAATTACTTATAGAAGAGCAAACAGATTGAAATTGCATATTGTAAATATTTTTCGAACAACAATATTTCTGATCATTATGGAAAATAGTAATCAATCAATCGGCATAATTCAAACAGTAATGACACCTGACATTGTAAACCCAGCATGCTAAAAACATGTAGTTTTCTGTTTTAATTTCTTTTTTTAAATAGATTAAAAACAAAGTAATAAACGAAAAGTGACATCGACAAATCACCTGTTTGTGAATACAAAAACAAGTGCCATATAAAATTTGGTGAAGATTTTATACCACCTCAAAAAAGATCTCAACCATTAAAAAAATAACGATCGACACTGAAACTCTGCTGGTCAAATACAGATTAACTTGTTGTACACATTCATAAAATGGTAACATTTACTACTCTCTCTCTCTCTCTCTCATCAACATACTCAGTTGGTGGTAAAGAATGTCTCATTTGGCCAAATATGCATTCAAGAACTTTTCATATGTGAATACAAAAAAACTTACCAGTAAAATCGGTATAGGCAGAATCTTTGAGATAGGCACCGGAACCGAAATCGACCAATTTAATTGACATGGTTCGTAAATCGACAAGAATGTTTTCATCTTTGATATCACGATGACAGACGCCAGCTTTATGGCATAGAATAATAATTTCGACAACTTGGCGAAAAAATAAACGTGCCATACGTTCTTCAAGCACAACACGTTCAGTGATGAAATCAAACAAATCTTTAACGTTGTCGGGTCGTTCCATAACGATGATAAAGGCCGATTGATCTTCATACCAATCCAACATACGGATGACGCCCGTTATGTGGGCAACTTTTTCTAATAGGCAAACTTCCATGGGTACCGGTCGGCCATTATATTGCTCCCAACTGGTAACATTATCACGCTTGATATGCTTTATTGCAACCTGTTCATCGATGACAAAAAAAAAGAAACAAAACAAATTAGTTCCATTCAACAAAAAATACAAATACACATGTTTAATTTACAAATTGATTAGCTAAATTAACTTACAGGCAATCCATCACGGATTCGAATACCGGCATAAACAGTGCCAAATCCACCACGTCCAAGTATGTTGCTTACGTTGTAATTCTTTTCGAACATTTCACGTGGTCGAACTGTGTTTGGTAAAATGAAATTAAATTCCAAAGAAAATTAAAAATTTATTTATTATTTCATTAGAATTAATTGAAAAAAAAATTATTATTTCAACAAAAGTAATTTTATATTTCCATATAAATGTTTTGTGTGTTTTGGCTTTACCATTTAAACATTTTTGATTTGGATGCGATTTCTGTGTATTCCAGTGAATCGATCGTGGAAAACTATTTTTATAATATAATCTAGAATCCATTGATATTCTAATCAATTGATCAAATCTTTGAAAATTTTTTAAGTCAAGTTTTTCACAGCAACGAAACGAAAAGAAAAAAAACGCGTGTTCACTAGTCAATAGGAAAATCGAAAAAAAGTTTGTGAAAACTTTTAACAACACTTAAGTAGAACTTTTTTTCGAATTTTTTTCAACAACAGCAGGCAATGACTCAAACATGAGACATTCCAACGACCAACAAGTGAAAAAAAAATAAGAGATAGAAAACGTTTTTTTTCTGACCATATTAACCAATACATTCTAATGCTGTCCCGATAGATCAGAAAAATGGCGCGCATTTTTTTTTTGTCTCATGGTTCTATTCAATCAATTGAATTGAACTCATCTAGGTAGTGGAACGTATTCTTTAAAGAAGAAAAAAAAATGGAGAAGCATAGAATTTAAAACATTTCGTTCTAATGATATTTAGTTCGCGTACGTCATCAATGATTAACTAAAACGAAAACAAAAAAAAAGATGTTGGATCGTCACCTAAACTAAAATCACAATGCGATTTTTTTTTTGTACATGTGACTCGCATCTCATCAAGCATCATTCAAGAATGAATGAAGCTTCGTTTATATAGTCCACCAAAATATAAAATATCACTTCTGGTGATAGTCAAACAAAAAGTCATGACAAACAACACAGACGGAATGAAAGAATTTCTTTTTTCAATAGTGTTTTTAGAAGTTTAAAAAAAAATTCATTTCATTACAAATGTTTATCAGTTTCAATGAAAGAGTTGGTTGTGTATGAAAGGATTGATTCGAAAATGTTAATACAAATAGATAGATAGATAGCAAAAAAAAAACAAACTCATGATATGTTGTTTTTTCCGGTAAATAAGAGGAATTTTTATGATGAATATAATATGTCTGGCCTTGCAATATCAATCAATCTCATCATATCATGACAATGTTTTTGTTATTGTTCATCTTATCAAAAAAAAGATAGAGATTGAAATATGATGCAAAACCAAAAAAAGAAAACCGTTTCAATTGTTTAAAAAATTCATTTACTATATATTTTATACTTGGCTTTTTCTAGTTATTTGTGTTATTACTTAAGCTAAAATCAAACCAACCAACAAACATGGTAATATTCATCAATGTGTATATATTTTTTTACGGAACATTCACTTTCTACTAATTGTTTCGTTTGTTGTTTTTCGTTTTGTTTAATTCTATTCAATAGCTAAAATTAGAAGACTAGACAAGAATATTCATTTCAATTCAATCTTTATCAAATAAAAATATATAGAGAGATTGGTCGTTCATATAAAATTGTATACGGTGGCAATGATATGTTATGATGATGATGATGATGATAATAATGATGATTATCAACAAGTGCAGCAGCAGTAGCATATTTATGGTTGCCCTTATACATCATTATCATTATTTATCATGAGCAGATATATTCATTTAGCCAAACCTTTTTTTCATCACTAAAATTAGAATCTTATACATCGTCATCATCATCATACAATTATTATCTATCTGTGTATATTTTTGAGATCAAAGTTCACCCCATTAACTTGTTAAAAGATTCTTATGGATCGAAACAACACTAATTGAAACACAATCGATTATTGAATTATATTTAATATATAAATTCCATCAATTTTTTCCCGATTGTGATAAACAACAAGGACATAATGATGACAGAGGAAATGTTTGGCCATCACATCATAACAACATGATTGCTTGAGTTCATGATATGATCATGTGATCATCATCATAATCATCATCATTGGACTTATGAATAAAAAAAGAGAGAGAGAGCTTGTTGCTATCGAAGCTAATTTTCCTCTCTCACTTTGTTCAGATGTAAATCACCACATCTCTCTTTTTCTCTTTAACTATCTATATTACTTTCCTTTTTGGCTTTCTCATCATTTTAAAATGATGACTTTCTATTTAATCTATATGGATGTCGAGGGAAAATATTATTATTTATAAATTCATCATACCCGATTTTGTTTACGACAGAAGCTTTTTTTCGATTGCTTTTGCGATCTTCTATATGTCTCTATCAATCAATCTTGAAATGTGTGTGTGTGATATATATATTTTTTGTCCATAATTTGTTTTTTTTTTAATATTGTCGATAGGATAAATGTCACTGATTGCAATTGGTGTTGAGTATTGATTTGATATATATTTTTCATTTGCTGTTTACTATTTCGTATTTTGTAAAATGTTGTGTGTTCACACACAAGCCAAAGGCTCGAATACGAAAAAAAAATCAAACTAATAAAGAAAAATAATGTAGCGTTTTTCCCAAAAAAAAAGAAAAAAATTGAAAAGCTACCCAAAAGTTTTTTTCCATAACATGTATTTGTCTATACAGGCTACTGAAAATAGTTGTTGATCCATATTTGCACACACATTGGAAAAAAATCCCGATGGCTATTTATGTATTTTTTCTGGTTATAAACATCATCATAGACATCAAAACAAAAAAAAACAAAAAAAGGATAGCAATGTTTTCAAAATAAGGATCATTCCAAATCACAATATTAAAAGTGGCTGTTTTACTGTATTAAAATTTTTATCATCATCATCATCAACGCTTTAATTGAATTAATTATTGAACGAAAATAACACTTCTCAATCAATAAAAAAAAATTATAAGCCAAAATTGAACAGATATCACCAAATAAAAACCGACACCTGCTTCCCAAAATGTTTTTAGTTCAAATCTGACCAATCTTGAAACAAGCCACAACAACAACAATTGAAATATTCATAGTTGAGTATTTGTTTTCAGTATTTGATCATAATTAATGACAAACTGAAACAGAAGAATGATTTGGTTTTAGTACACGTGCAAACAATGAAATCATTTTGTGTTTATGTATGCAGTTTGTATAGATTTCGCGCTAAATATTCCAGAATTGATCAGACAATAACCCCAGTCACACAGAAACATGGCAAACCTCAATAGGACATCAACCGACAGTCAAGTGAACCAAAATAGAATATTCACTCTCTTTTGAAAAAGAGGAGAGTGACTGCCAAGTGAACAACTCTCGCTTCATAATATATTCTGCCCATAGTTTTAATGTTTTTAACTAGTTGTTGTTATGATGCTGACCTCGATTAACCTCCTCAGTATTTTTTTGCGACGACAAGCAAAGAACCGGCTATTAAATTTGTTGTCTATATAGTGAATGGTGTAAACAATCCAACAACCAAACTATAGCAAGAATTTTTCTTTTCATTTGGCAGTTGCCGTTAACGAATCTATGCGGATATATTTACTTTTTTTTTGCATTTATGATTTAGAACATGGGGTTCCCATTAAACTTTTTATACCACACAGAGGAGTTAGAGGACGCGTTCTTCATAAAGATTCCAAATGGATATAATTTCTGGATACTATATTGTGTGTGACTATTTGGATCTGGATTGTTTGAAGTGAATATATGAGTGTATGATTAGGATAATTTAGGGCCTTCATTATTATTTGATTATTATTTGTCAGCCGCCTGTCAATTAGCCAAGTAGAATTGAATTTGTTTGTTCAAACAAACAAACAAATAAAATGATGGAATCATACAATGGAGATGACTCACAATGTCCGAAAAAAACCAACAAAATCAGATTATGACAGTTCACCTAAATAAATTTTGGAATGTGATCGTTTTTTTTTTTTTTTTGAAAACTCAATTATATTGAGTTTTTCCATCGCTTATTTATTTTTCGATTTTTTTTGCTTTCCATTGAGCATTTTTCATCGTTTGTGAATGAAAAAAAAACAACATATATAGCTGGATATCTTTGTTCAAGATTCAGGTCATGATCAAACGATCAATCGCACAGTGTTGCATACTGTTGTTAATAATTAGAAACATCGAATGATGATTAGTTGAGTAGAGTTTAGACCAGACAATCTCAACAAGGATTGCACTCATATCTTTTGATCGTGATCGTCATTATCATAGGGGAGGAATATTTCATCACAGGATTGATATTTTTGTTGTTAAAGAAAAAAAACAACCGCATCGGTGATAAGTATCATCCATATATCAACCATTATCATACATTAACGACATAAGGATTGCAATATTGAACTATATTCATATGAACAATAGTCATCAGACAAGGCGTCAAGATTCTTGTCGCCAATACTGCTTAATTACTATGACAATCATATGCTGCTTCCATATGTGTTAATGGCAATACACAAAAACAAAGACACAAAGAGTTTTATAAACGAAACGAGGATGGATATTAAGGAGGATCTGATAAGAATAAATAGCTCGACTATGGCTCCCCATCACGAATCTTATGTCTAATAGGAATTTCAAAAACCAATCAATGAATTTCAGATATAATTGAGCAAAAAATGGTCTGAATATATGTGTAACGGATCAAATGGGGGTAGATGCCATCAACAGATCAATTGTGGTGGTATGCTGTGTGTGGAAAAAGTCCGGCGTCTGGGCCAAGTTCAGCTTTTAAAAAACTTGGATTCATCTTTCTTTTTCCAAACTAAACAACGTTCATGTCTGTTGGAATTCAGCTGATTTTTTCTTGTCATACCATCAAAATAGATAGGACTTTTAACAAGTTAGCTTGCCTACACTCTACATTTAAACACAGAAAACACGCTAAAACTAACATTGATGGCGGCGGGAGGAAAACGCGTTTCAGTCGGTCGCCGCTCCCAGTCAGCGCTTACCAGCAACGAAATCCCAATGAAGATAATATGAGTAAGATGTCAGTGTGTGTGTATGTGAATGCATTGAATGATGAAAGCAATTTTTCATTTTCATTCATCCTCGATTATACTTGTCCGAAGAAGCCGGGAAAGCTACATTCAAACTGGCAATTGCTTTCTGGTTTTCAGTTCGGTTAAATAAGCTTGGCAAAAGTTGGCGGCGGGAGTTAGCTCAACTACTATATTCTTTTCCATTAAATCAATTTAATTGATGAGGGGTAGATGCGTGGCGCATCCCGATATGTGAGTGTTCATTGCTCTTGCTCATTTGATCCATTTGAAATTGAATAAAAGATTGTCTTGGATTGTCGCAGAATGCGTATTAGAATAAAAAAAATAGCAGTCGTTTGAAAAATCGGTATAGAATTTCATAGACATTTAAAGATGGAAACGGACAATGAATAAATGTGAAAGACCTCGAGCCAGACTTTTTAATCGATATTGTCTTGGTCGGTACCAAGGTGAAAAGAATTCAAATATTAAAAGTTGTGAATAAATGTCAAAAAAATTACATCCAATAAAGTTCAATAAGTTTACTCAGGTAGATTGAATAGAATAAACCATTTTAAAAAGAAAGAAAGATCATTTGGCAATCCAAAGGTCGAAAGTCATGAAGTGAACACTTGTAAAATGAAGATTCAACCAAACTCAAACACCACATGGATTGTTCAATACTTTAGTAGCATCAGAGTGGTAATTAATGTGTGTGTGAGGGACAATTAACGTTGTTAATTGAGAGTGGAAAGATAATTGAGCAAATCTAATTAAACTTTTCGTCGTGGCCATCATCACAAGATAGAAAGATATAGGAATTTAGCATCTATTAATGAATTCTGTCCAAGCTATGATAGAATCCCAAATATACTCTTCTCGAGAACAGTGACCTTTGTCGAGTCGAAGAGCCGAGGATGACGGCGGAGGGTGGACAGACAAACTTGGTGGGTAAACGAAATTATTTCCCCAAATTATTAGGTCGTTGAGCGTCTCGTGCCCTCTGACTGGATAAGCTGTGTGTAGGGTATATATCATCATTTTATCCTATGCTACTGCTTTCAAGTGCGGATCAATCCAGGTGTTCATCAGTGTATAGAATACAACAGAGTTGTTGGCTTCATTTGTACAAAACATAGAGAGCGCCACTAAATTCGATATGGCAATGAAAATGCCAATCTTGGGTGAATAGAAAAGCCCGCGTTTTCACACTGTTGTTGTTTTTGTTATTATTGGGCAGCTCAGATGACAGCGAAATTACAGAATCACATGATATCACAGAAAAAAAAAGTAAGGTTAGTATTTTGGGTTATTACTAACCCAAATAGGTTAGGAAATCATCTGGTTAGCACTAACCCATCTACTTAATTTTCTGTGTATCCATGTTAAATATATCTTTATATTTGCTACAGAATTTGGAATAAAACTTACCATAATTGTTGTTGTTATGCACATCTCGGCCATTCGATGATGGGGGTGGTAATGGTGGAGGTTGCATCAATGATGGCGAATGATATGAAACCGTCATGGGATTGTCGGTGGTAGGCGTTGCTGGAGGCTTCGTCGATGTTCGTTCCTTGGTTTGAAACGAATTTGGCATAACGGTTGATTGTTGGGTCGTGGACGAGGCACTCAGCCGATGATCACGGCTGTGGTTATTATTGTTATTGTAATGATTGGTGTTCAATGAGGATTTGATTTTGGTGTTGTTATTCAACGATGGAGATAAATGTTTTTGTTGTGATGATGAAGGTGATGTGGCTTGATTAAATAACATTTGATGTATGGTGCCCAGATAATATTGCGTTGGTGGTGTGAACAATGCGGGCAAAAAACGATTTGTTTGTTGATGTTGACCTTGATTCAACGAAGAAGTCATATTTGTTGGATTGTTATTGCTTCCGGATAAACTAATAGATGACGAACTAGATTCGACTCTTCTGTTAGATTTTCGCAAACTTTTCTTGGATGATGACGATGATGATGATGACGATGATGATGAGGTCGAGCTTAGCTGTTGACTATTGTTATTACTGTTCGAACAGGTCTTATGTCCTAACATGCAACTGAAACTATGTGACGATATTGAATTTGGTATACAGTTGGCAACTGATGTTGTTGTATCGGAATCGATCACCATTCGGTGTTGAGAGGAATTTAAATTATGTTGATTGCTCGGGCTTGATGATAGGATATTTGTCGTTGGTATTGAACCATTACGACTTTGCAAGCCACCACCACCATTAATTGAAATTGAGTTTGATGTAGCCTTACCAAGTGCTGAATTCAGATATGAACCAGCAGAATAAGGCGATGATGACAATGGTGATGATGATGAAGATGATAATTGATCTTCGACACCCATCGCCATTGGTTGACCAAGTCCGATATTTACACCCCTGAACAGATGATGATGATGGGGATGATGATAATGATAGTCGGTTAATCCAGCTATGGCACCGCTATTACTACGGCTAGCTGTTGATGAAGCCAGACTGGACGATGCCGATGATTGTGACGATAGTCGACTATATCGTTCACAATTCGGATGATGTAGATGTTGGGGTAATTGCGAACTGTGGCAATTTAAGAATTTATATGAACTAAGACAATTACAAGCACACATTGAGAATCGTTTTTATTTTTTTCCAACAAACAAAATAATAAAAGGAATATCGATGAATTGCAGATCGATGATTTTACGAGATGAGAAATAAATAAAACCGGATGAGATGAACTGAGCAATCGGTTATTGTTGGGGTAAATATGAAAGCGATTTATTAATTATTTCGCTGTATCAAAGATCAACAGGAGCGAGACCGTAAATGGTCTTCGGTTGTAATTGTAGTTAGGTTTGTTTGTTTGTTTGGTAGGTTGATTGTTGTTGTTATTGTAGATTCAGAATCTCAGATAGTTTTTGATGTATCAAGTGAAATATTGACAATTGTTGTGGAGAGAGAAAGAAAAAAGGCCAGTAAATTTGTATTTCGGTTTCGAATCAGCAAAAAACAAAGCGTATAAATTAACGAAAAAATTTTTTGTTTTGTTTTGTGTTCAGTGCCAACAAATAAAGATAAATGCCATTAAAATAAAAAACAATAAATTAGGATTCAAAATGTTCATATTTGTTCCATGATTTGGCTTTTTATTATTATGATTCCTTTTGTTTGACATTCGATAATCAAGATTACGTTCTATGAAGGCAAACAGATTGGTTAGACTTTTATAGTTGATGCTGTATTCAAATTCCATGATATTAAATAGATGTTAGGATGCTTATGATAGCTAAAATGATCACTTGAAACGCCAAACATAAAAAACAAATTAAAACTTTGTACTAGAAGGTGCAAGATAATTTTGGCGCCAAACTTCGTAATTCAAGTATTATGTTCAAAATTCAAATGTCAATTTAATCGAAGAAAAAGTAAATAAATAAACACAACACATGCATAACAAATTGATGATCAATCACATTTGTATTTCACAAAAAAAAATTCTAAACTGGACAGTAATTATTATCAATCAGTAGATGAATTGATGTGATAGTGATGTGTTTATCAATTTAATAGAGATGCACATGTGGAAAAATTCAATTCTTATTTATTTTTCCAAAGGAAACAAGTTAATGTGTGTATGTATTTTGATTGAAAAAAAAGAATATAAACAAAAACACACTACTTGAACATTTAATCACTAAAAACTAAGAGAAAGCGAAGAAATCGAGTAATAAATTGTAAAATGGAACGATGTTATTCGATATGAATGCGATGCAAAGCGACGTGAACAAGGCGACTGCCGGTGCACGAATGAAACTTAGATCGTATAGAGCACCCGCATTTATAAACTACTATATTTTTTTCTATCATTCTCCTCTCTGTTATAAGCGGTCTGCCGGGGTTGTTGTGACCGCCGCGACTTTTTTTGTGTCTGCGTAAGAGAAACAAAGTGAAATAGAGAGAAAGAATCTCGCGCCAAATGTACACGTCTCCTGATGTATAAATGAAAAAAACAACAACAACAATAATAACAACAACATTAGAGGAGGGAGGGCGCGTCATCACACATGATGAGAGTTTGGAACAATTATGAATGCTATTTTTTGCCCACTAAAAATTTGAAACTAGTAGCATAAATCATTGCTAGAATGCGGCACCCGCAAAAAAATTTCCCAAAAATCTTCTCCGCAATTCCATTCATAACAATACCACTACTGTAACCCGGCATTAAACACAGAGGATAATAATAATAATAAGAAATGAATGAAATCATTCAATGGCAGCATTATCTGCTGGTGGAGTTGAACGATTAATTCAATGGTCAATGGTTCTCTCATCCAACAAAAAAAAGTAGCAGCAAGCGAACAGATGGCAAAATCAAAACAAAAACATTGCTAGCTTGGAATGTGCCAACGATCGTCATTCAAAGGCGGGAGGATACACACTTATTGAATTGTATACAAACATCATCTGATTGCTGTGGATGAGCGAAAAAAGCGCGAAATTTTTTTTTTCATTCGTATAAACGAATATATCATGAGTCATACTTATTTGATTTGGTATTCATCTATCAAATAATTGAATGATGTAACCGCGTCGTAATGAAACTATTGTTTTATTCATTGCGATTTCATTACTTTATCCTTTTCTGACGAAACATGATAAGCATCGACCAATTTATTGGTTCTTGAACAAAATACACTTTTTTGACCCGATAAGAGCACAGGAAACTGATGACCATTTGGTTAGGTCATTTCGGTAATGACCGATATGTAAAAGAGAGGTGTACTTTTTTAGCGAGATTCCTTTATATTTTCCATTTCAAATGCTATTACTATTCAAAGCAATCTCCTTCCCCAAGAAATAATGTTACTCTCGTTCTTCCATGTCTGGAAAGAAAAACAAACGCTGATTTGAATGACAAATGTCGTCTTCGAATAAAATGCCAACATCTGCGCGCCAAAAAAATTATTAAAAAAACATATGGGAATAATAATGAATGCGCAGCAGGGTGAGGTCCCGATTCAGATCAAAGCTTCTCTATACATGTGAAAATGTTGATGACTTTTTTACGTTTATCGATATTTGAACTCTAGCTCGTTGGTTAGGGGCCAGAAAACATCCGGGGACATACATAATTCCCTTGGTCCGTTTGCAAACGAGACTTGAGGTGTTTTTTAATCAAAAACCAAACCATCTTCTTGGATCACCTGCCAACCTGGCAAAAAAAATAAATCTAAAAAAGTCCAGTGATTTAGCGAAAGTGCATAGAGGACGGGACTAAAAGAGAAATCAAATGAATAAGATTACTTTACTCCATATGCCGTTCCATTTGGATTGGTTTGGTTGAATTCCAAAAGACTTGGTAATTTTACAAGGTTATAATTATCAACATATGTATACATTAACACGTGATACGTTAATATCCATCATTATAATCTTATTTATTTTATTAACAAATAATATTGGCGGTTTGGCAATTTTAGGTCTCCCCCTGATGATGCTATCGTCACAAAGGGTCAAAGTTCAAGTATTAAAAATGATCACAACAGGTTAAGTTGATGTTGCTCTGTTTTTACTAGAATGTTATTCTACATTTTTTTCCAGATTTTTGGCTATATTAAATCTCACCTAGTTCATTTGGTTATTATTGCTTATGTTTATCCTTATCCATATGAAGATTGATGATTGATGAAGAATGGATGCGGTCATCATCGTCATAATCATGATTCAGTCGAACCGAACAAAATTACAATTAAGCTTGTTTTTCTATCTGTATGTGAACATTTATTGATTATTTTCTTTCGACTTCGAACCGATCAATTGAAAATGTATTGATGATCAAGTCAGCAAAGATGTAAATGAATTCGAATAAAAGTCAGAGCAAAGTTTATGATGATAACTTTTTTTTAAAAAATACGAATCATTTGGCCAACCAGATCTATAGAATTTGTTCATTAAAACTATGTTCGATTTATTTATTAAGACAGTTGTACTTGAACAACGTGAAAGATATGGGAACTTCAATCGTCATATATTCCTGCTATCATCTTCTTCATATTTACATTGATTTAAATTAACAAGAAGCGATTATGTCATTATAGGTAAACGAACAGGTTTTTCCCATTCAGATTTAACTTGACTAATGCAAAAAAAAAGTTAATCATCGTCGTCATTACCAGGTCATATGTCAGTTGACGACATTCTTTCCGTATGTAAACAAGTCAATGACCAAAAAAAAAAAAAAAATGAAATCCACATGCCCGGTCAGGTGTATGAAAAATTAAAATAAAATAAATGTTTATTCGAATGGTCGATTTAGGAATGAATGATTGGAATGAAAAATNTCCGGGGCAATTGTCAGTTGACGACATTTTTTCCTTATGTAAAAAAGTCAATGACCAAAAAAAAAAAAAAAATGAAATCCACATGACCGGTCAGGTGTATGAAAAATTAAAATAAAATAAATGTTTATTCGAATGGTCGATTTAGGAATGAATGATTGGAAGGAAAAATAATATTGAAATTAGAAAAATATATGCAAACAAGTGTGAGGATTGCTTTGAACAGGGAGAAAAATATGGTTAGAGTAACATTATGGGTTGCTGATGATTCAATACAGGAGGAGAAAAGAAAAAGAGAATAATTTTTCGCTTCATGATAATAACTATCGTCTTTGACTGAGATGTGTGTGTTTTTGTTTTCTTTATTATTAGAATTAAATTAAGAGTGAAAAAAGATTTCATTTCGAAAGCTTAGAATCCAAAATGAATCTATCGGTAGCACACACACAATCATCTTAGATTTACCATTTATTTATCTATATTGTTTTTGAATAATTGGGTTGATGGTAAGAATAAGGGAGATGATATAACAACAACAAAACTATATTGAAGGGGAAAAATTCGGCACCGAATCTTTCTAATTTATTCAATGCCATTTTGCCTGATCATGAGCTGTCAAAATGAGCGCCGGCAAAACGCCTTTTAAAAAACGTAAATGACCGGATCGACTTGACGAAAAAAAAATCCAACGTCAATTGTTTCCGTTGAATTTTTTATTTGGTTACAATAACCAACTTTTTTCGATTCGTCTCAGTTGATGATCGATAATATTCTGGAATCGCCGTACAACAGTTAGGGAGGGAGTGAAACCATTATCATTTTGGATATTTTTGTGGCTATATTGGGCCATTAGCGCATGATCATTTCGAATGAAAAGTGTATCAAAACAGATTATTATTTAGTTCCAAACTATGGGTATCATCAAGATTGAATATGAACGATATTTTTTGATATTATTGGATTCATATAAAAGGTTATTCACCGAAATGATGGATGAATGATTTTATTCAATGATAGACAACAATCAAATCGAAAAAAAGAAGGTAAAAATCTTTCCTCTCAAATGATGAAACAAAAACAAAAACAAAGAAGACAAAAAAAACAAAGAAAATGGAAAGCACATGTATTGGATGCTGGGTCAACTTAATGAAAATGTTTTCAATTTCTTGGCTTGTAATAATCATCATTGCAACATCTTGGTTTACAATATTAACAGCAATCATTATCATTTGTTCAACTTGGCTATATCTTGTCTAAGGCTATTATTATCTTCGATTCGATGAAGACGAATCGAATGAATGAATGAACGAAGGAATGGATTGCGCTTTCATCAGTCTCTCAATCAATCGATTGTTCTTTATTATTATTGTGCGCGAGGGCCATGTTGATTACGATAGATGAATGAAGGTGATAATTGGCTATGAGTTCGATGATTTGATTCAATTGACCGTCATCAATGGGCAAACTCTTGTTCACACGGGTACGATTTAATTCGGATTTTCATTCATCGCTGTACTTCGTTTGTTGGTTTGGACTTATTTGTCGCGACAAATGTTAACCAATTTATAGTCTTATTGATCTTGTTATCATCATCATCATCATCATCTTCTTCTTCTGAATTAAATTAGAATATAAACCAATTGTTGTTGAACGAAGAAAAAAAAACAAAAAACAATCTTCTACAGAATTTCTCATTTGCCACCCGAATTGCTTATACAATAATTGGTTTTTTTTCATTGAAACTATCTTGAAAA